CAGATGTTTCATGGTACCGAAGATGGAAACAGAGTTCCAAGGGGAAGAGGAAGAGAAAGAGGCCCATCTTCCCCTACGCCGCCGCCGCCGGGCCCTCCAAGAGGCGAGCGCAGCCACCAGGTTGGAGCTGCCCCTGGTGAAGGGGCACCTCTTCCACGATGTCCTGGAGGCGAGCCTCGACCTGTCCGATATGGCCCTCATCGAGTGCTTCGGAGCGTGTTTGAAGCTCCAGGCCGTGGACACCGGACGCGGCACGTTCGTCTCGCTCCTCTTCCCCGCCAAGGACTTCCCTGGCTACATCTGCAACGAGCACTTCTCCATGGGGATCCCAATCCGCGACTTGGTCAAGGCCATCCTCTGCGGCGACAAAGACACCATCACCCTCAAGGTCGTCGACGAAAACATTACCTTATCATTCGTGTCGCCCGGTAAGTGCCCGCACGCCTTTTGCGCTACCTGCTCTTCGCCCTGACCCTGCGCTGATTTTGTGTTTGTGGAAATGAACAGAGAAGAACACTGTGGCTTACGATTTGCGGATTATGGACGGCGAAATCCCGCACTTGAAAATCGCAGATTGGCAGGATTTGGAATTGAAGTACCAGACCTCTGTCAAAATGCCATCTGTGGAGTTTAGGCGGATCTGCAAGTACCTCAACAACTTCAGAGATGAAGATGGTACATAGATTTTACCTGGTGATTTATAAGTCTAGCTGTTACTGTCCCATGTCTAGTTCTGTACAACCATTTCCATCTCCAGCTGTAGGTGGAATTTCGGTGACCGACAAGGGCCTCAAGTTCTTTGCTAAGGGAAAAAGTCGGCGCGTGAACATGAAGGTACTTAATGGTTTACCCTCTTAGCCCCTCAAATTGGAATGGGTATCATCCTCTGAATATCTGTAAACAATCATATCAGTGATGTGCTGTAGATTCTTAATGCCCTAATGTTGTTAGCAAGTGTGCTTTCTTGGTTCCTCAATTATGTTACCTTTTAGCCTGTCTGGCAGACTAGCACAACATGCGTACATACTGCCTTAGAATTTCGTTGTCTCACTATATAGTGTGTTGAGTTGCTAATTCACTTTGCTTACTAATGTTGCTCTTCTGTGTTTGGAGTATTAGTTTAGTCTGCACAACTGGATATGTTATTTTGTCTAGAGCAGAAGCTACATATTTCATAAAGTGGAACATGGCTCTTCATTTGGTTGATTACATTGGTATGGGGTTGAATTAGATGTTTGTTTGTTTTAGTTATTGCTTATTTCCTCCTTAACTGTAAAATCTGGGTGAGGTGGTTAACTACTCTGCATTGCAAATTAGCATCTGTTTATTCTATAAATTTCAATTGGTTCTATCATATGGAGTAACATCTTTAGTATCTTGTGCCATTCAACTACTATTTTTAAGAAAATACTGAAGAATGGATCCTGTTTATGCGTATCTGCACTAGTTAATGGGTCATGTTTGTATCAATGCAGCAAGAAGATACTACTACCTCTAAAATAGATGTGCAAGAACCAATTACACTGACCTTTGATCTGAAGTACTTGAACACCTTCGCCAAGGTGTTCACCCTCTCTGGTCAAGTGAAGCTCTTTCTCTTGAAGACACATCCCCTCATGGTCGAATGCAAAATTGGACAGAAGGGCCACATCAGATGTTTCGTGGCACCAAAGATGGAACCAGAGTTCCAATGGGAAGAAGAAGAGGAAGAGACCCAAGAAGATATTAATGCAAACATCTCTGCTAATAAGCTTGCATTGAGGGGATGTGTCGACTCGATGTACAAGCAGAGAGAAGAGAACAGAGCAGAGGAAGGTGACCCTGAGCAGGTGAGCAACATCTCTGCTAATAAGCTTGCATTGAGGGGGAGCTAGCTAGGATGTGACGGCTTCATATCCCTGCAAAACACGCCCGAGGCCTACTACTACCGCACCATCTTCGAAGCCGGCGATCCTGACGGTGCCGGGGGGCCGTCCCCTCCGGCAGGGTCACCAGGAGCGTACCCCTCGTCCCGCCCGAAACCGTTATCGCCAACAAGCTAGGCCATCATCCCCTGCCCTTGCTGCCATTTATCCAGGGCTAATCCATATTCCATCCTATCCAGGCTTATGCTGCAGTATAATCCTGCATGTATCCTCCCCTTGTTTCAATCAATAAAATCAGATATATGCTGTCACTGCCGTGCCGTGATCCCAATTTTCATTATTGCCCTTGCCCAAGAATGACGACAGCATCACTCTTGTTGCTCAACAAATAACACAAGCCAACACCACATAAGCAATCACCTAGACACCTACTTACTTTTTGGGCACAGGCTGCTCACCTTCTTTCTTGCGTTTCTACTCCCTAACAAAATGGGTCTGTATGCAGTTTGCTTTCTCAGATCCTCAGAAAAGTGAGATCAACATTCTGGCACATTAAATCCATCCATTCAAACCAAACCATAACAGTACCAGGCTACTAATCACTTCAATTCGTTATGTTGGGAATTAAATACATCACGAGGAACTTCTACTTTCTGTTCCTAACAGCAATCAATATCAATTTATCTTCTTCAAATCCGGCATCCACAACCAAATAATGATGTTCATCATGTGTTTCTTGGCCTTGGCCTTGGCCTTAGCAGCCGGTGCTAGGAAAAACGCCCTCAACATCCAGGCAGCAAGAATGGCACTAATAAAGGGGCACATCCAGTACAAATAGAACTGCTCCCACAATATTTGGGTTAACCCAAATACATACTGTAACTTTACAAGGGATCCAAATGCCTGCACACAATATTTGGGTTAACCCAAATACATACTGTAACTTTACAAGGGATCGGAAGGTAATAAGGAAATGGGCAAACTTCTGTATCAAGTGCTTAAAAAACAAACACGGGCAGGAACAGCAGAATCATCATCAGTCCTTCTCAGACCATGTAACAACATATTCAAAATTCAGTAGATACTCTGCAAAGCATCCTCAACTCCACTACGGTCTGATGCTACACCAAACTTTGCACAACATATGCTTGGGAGGTAGATAAGATGATTTTCACAAAATAAAAACCCAAATGAAATAGATCAGTAGTGGAGAATTGCTTCCAAGTAGAAAATATGTTAACAAATCCTTCTTCTAGATACCATTCTGTTTTATAACAAGCTTCTCTAAGCAGTTCTACACAGCAAGCTTCCAACATGTGGGTTTATCTCTTTATAAATCCTCTACCTGACATTCCCAACAGCATGCAATACTTCTTTCATTTCTAAACCAGTTCCATTTACTCTCCATTACCAAAAACTAGGTATAGAACAAAGGACCACTTTCCCGTTTCAGCCTTTTGTTCTTGATTTAAGCAAATTTCAGCGATGAAGAATGCAAAAGTGTATTCGAGACATGGAAAGATAAAGTGGCTATATGCACGAATGTGCATGTCTTCTCAATGGTTCGGAAAGAAATACGTATAGATACTGACCATTCAAATGAGTGACCTGATATCATATTTTAGAACACAGATCAAATGCAGGCTGGTATAAATATGTAAGGATCCTTTTCATAAAATTCATGGCACAGAATATTTTTTTCAGCCATCTATATATGTACTTTAAACCTGCGCCCGGTTACTGTAGCGCGCCCGCACAAAAACACTGTTAACGAGCTGTTAATAATTTGTTCTTGTGCACTGCACTTGTGTTATCTCTTGTTCCAAGGTTAGGCAGCATCTGATGGAGGAACAAGAAACATATATCCATCTTTGTCAAAGAGTTGATGCATGCATTCATTCATATGCGCCCAGCAAAATCCACCAACCTGGCCACTATTTCTTTTGTGTGCTGGATGTGTCAAAGCTGGTGGCTGCAGGCTGCGTCACCTGCATCCACCTTGCAGGAAAACGACGCCTTTCTCCGACCCTGACCTGTTCATAGCACCTCGATACATATGTCCCCATATCCCTTTGAAATCGGAATGTGCTCCTCTCTCTTGTCTGCATGATACGAGATCATACAGTTATTCACACACCCAACTACATACATATATACTTTATTCTACAAAATATCATACTTCATCAGTTTGGAATCAACAGGGAAGGTTATTATAACTATTCTAGCGGCTGAAAACGACTAGTCTATGTCTCTATGTATAAGACAGGACTAGGTAGTAAATGACAAGATTCTGGTTAGCAAAGATAGACCATTTCTAACTCCATAATATGTCCTAAAATTTCTAGATGTACACTCTTCACCGGACGGAGGGAGTAGACACATACTCCCCACATGACCTTTTTTTTGGGACAAATTTCAAACCTTTCATGGACTTTTTTTTGGGATGGAGGGAGTATTTCTCTTGGCTTATTGATCACACATCTTTGTACATTTCTGGCCCGTCATTTCCACTCCAGAGCATTCAGATCTGCATTAAAAGCTGAAGAGTAAAATACACCAGCGGTCCTCGAACTTGGCTCGCTGTGTCGATTGGGTCCCCGAACTTGGAAAACCAGGAATACGGGTCCCTAAACTTGGCTCGCTGTGTCGATTGGGTCCCTGAACTTAGAAAACCAGGAATACGGGTCCCTAAACTTTGCTTGCGGTGTCATTTGGGTCCCTCAACTTGACAAAAAAAGATTAATATTTTGGGATCCAAATGACACCGCAAGGTTTAGGGACACGTATTGCTGGTATTCAAAGTTCGGGACCCAAGTGACACAGCGAGCCAAGTTTAAGGACCCGTATTCCTGGTTTTCTAAGTTCGGGGACCCAATCGATACAGCGAGCCAAGTTCGAGGACCGCTGGTGTATTTTACTCAAAGCTGAATCTCCCAACCTCTTGTGCTTTTGCTTTTGTGCTTTACAAGTCACAACATTAAATCAATAAGCCAGGACAAACAAAGTCATTTACAGTATGTAACACTTTCCTTTTATGCGCGAGAGAGTTCTAGGCATGCTCTTCAAATAAAAGATCAGAATAATGAGGAAAAGAACATGAATATGCCATCTTAGAGGGACAATGTTGCCATAAATTTAGGGTGATGAGAAGTTAAACTGGATGCCTGTCTTCCCCTTGTCATGATCGAACTGTTTTGGGATGTGGCAGTAATTCATCTGGACAGGAAGAGAAAATGAGTTAATAATAAAACAGTGGGGGGTAGTGATGCAATTTCGTCAGTAACTTTAGCGGCACAACTGAAAAAAAAACACAGAAGGCAAACCTCTATGCGAAACAGTCTGGTTGGCACAACTACACCAAATCCCACAAAACTTCTGAATGTTTGTAGGAGATCAGTAAGGGGAAATTTCCGAAGATCACGCTCTGTTAGTTTAGCAAGATTTCCAGTTGAAGCAAATGCATGGCCATGAATTCCAAGATCCCTGAGTGGCTTCAGAGGTACTACCTCTGTCCTAAAAAGAATGCAATTATAGCATAGTACCTTGTTTTAGTAGCTTAAGTTTGACCAACTTTAAATTAAAAATATAAATATTTATGGTATCAAATAAATATTATTAGATTAGTTACGAAATGTATTTTCATTAGGAGTTGATTTGGAATCCTAAAGTTGAACACCGTTTACTGAAAACTTGGTCAAACATGAACCACTTTAACTAGCACGCAACACGTAGTTGCATTCTTTTTAGGACGGAGGTAGTAGATCAAATGATAGATCGGCAACCTCCCAGTCCATCTAGCTCAGGAGAAGTGGAAGCGCCATTCTCAGAATCAGTGAGGCCACAGGATCGCAAGTCTCTCGGCTCCAGACCTCTTGCTTTGAAGCCTGACAGCGATGATGGCCCGCCCAAGCGGCAAACAAGGGACCTGTTGCCACCCAAGTAAAACCTTTCTGCAAGTGGTGAGACAGATCCTGCAGGCCCCCATTCCAATGGATGGATGACTCCCTCAGCCACTCCGGCATTGAGAGCACCATTCAGCACACCGAGAGGCAAAGCCACTCGAAGATCAAATTCCTGATAGGCGATCAAGAAAATGGAATATGCTCAGAAGAATCTATGAATAGGATTCAGGTTCATCCAGTTGAGTTGTTTAATTTTAAAAAATTCCCAATATTCAGCGTATTAAATCCTACAAAATAAAATGGTCAAATTCATTTAATTAAAACTTAAAAAACCTAGCCTTTTGTTGCAAGGGGCTAGGATTGAAAACAAAGTAAACTGCTATTAGATGCATTAACAGAGCATAGATCTTTGAAAATAATTTGTCCTTGGCCCACCAATCATACAAGCAACCAAAAAGTATATTTCGAGGGAGAAAATGCAGATTGTGACCATAATTTGCATGGTTAGTATTGATTGTGCAGTTGGAAAATAAAGCAAGATGTACAAACCCATTACAGTATGACTTTAAAATGTCCAAATATGCATAATGATACCTAAGAAAAGATAAATGATTTCTTTTGTTAGAATACAATGAAATGGTGTGCACCCTGGTTTTCAAGGAACAAAGGTAAAACATGGATACAAGGAATTAAACCAAGACAAACCTGTCTTACAAACCGTGAATATTTGCTTTCTGGAGCAAGACCTCTAACTTGAGAAGACGACAGGAAAGCATACCCACGTGTTGGTCTTATGCTTGAGTCCCTCTGATCAACCTTGTACGCATACTTAATAGAGGACAAAAGGCTATGTCCTAACTGCTCTCGTATGGAATTGGATGATATGCGTGCTGGATCAGCTAAAGTTCTCCATGCCAGATTGTAAGAAATGTTATGGTTCATGGTTGAGAGCAAGCCAACTGAAACGCCCATCAGGTGTTCTTTGAGTGAGGACTTGAACCAGTCTTGAGACAAAAATGATACCTGCGCCGCCAACGGAGCACTTAGTTCTATTGTCTGATCTAATTCAAAGGCACCTGATGCATCCCAGGTCTCACAGTATCCAAATAGGTTCTTCAGCTTCAGTGAACCTTTGAGTGAACATGATCTAGTCTGCAGAAGGGTTGATGTGAAGAAAGTTGGTGAGACTTGAGACCAGTGAATTCAGGAACCCATCGATGTTATGCATATGATATCACTATATTTGATAATAAAAAATCACTACACACTGAGGGTGTGATTATTTGAGGTCCAACAGTATGCTCAAATCTGTTGACATGGGCATGTTAATAATGGAGAATGCATGAGGGACATCCATGAGTGATTTTCATCCAAGCTATGTTGTGCAAGTGCAATGTGTATAACTTTGGCATGAAGGGATATACATACAGGGCATAATGAAAATCCTATTACACAGAATGTTAGAAATACTGCAATATTGAACAAGAAATCTAGAGAACTAATCAGTTTTGCTCCAGGAACTAAATACAAGAACTACATGTTCTTTTTTATTTATCTTCTGAATATTAAGACAAATAGATACACGAATTATCCTAGTCCTATCATCATTTATCCAAGGCAACCCTTGTAATAATACCAACATTGCACCTGCTACACTGAAAAACCATATCTGCACCCTGAAAGCAAGCGCATAACTAAAATCCACACAATTGTACTGAAGAGCAGTCTGCACATTAGAATGAAAAAACAGCCTTATTTCAGTCCAGATGACCTTAAATTCTAGCCTGAGATCATTAAATCGAAGCAATCTGAATTGACACAAGACATAATTTTGGTACTCCCTCCATTTTTGTATACAAGGCCACAAACTCATATTACAGGTACCAAGGTAGAAATTAGTGGCTACTTAAATCAATGTTGCAAGCTAGACTTTTCTCCTTGCTTGACGTGTTAATTAATGTGTAAAGACAACTTGCTCACTTCTTGTTGGTTGATTAATATGGTGCATGTAAACCAACCTCTGCATGCAAGGGGTATTTAATGTCCTTGATTGCTAGTACGAGGCAAACCTCATCAATTTTATCTTGATTGGTGTTAGTGACCTTGTATATCTGCAAATTGTAATTTTGGTAGTGGCCTTGTATACAAAAATGGAGGGAGTAAAAAGGAAAAAAAGAAGGCATTTTTAGTTAGATCGGCACCTGTGGATTAGTGAAGACACCTAGTTCACCGGCAGTGCGGCCGCGGGCCTCTGCGACGTTGTCAGGCATCGACTGTACGCTTAAGCCATCGCTGGATTCCAAGTATCCATGGGTGCTGTCGGATGCGGTTGGCATCGGGAGTGCAGCGTTGGAGGCAAAACAACAGCGAGACCGAGTTGAGACGCACAACTGAAACTGAAGCGTGCGGGTGGGTAGTTTGCTTTGCTTCTGACGGTTCCAAGGGAACAAACAGATCAATACTAACTTGGCAGATGGTAAACTACTCCCTCCGTCCCTAAATATAAGTCGTTGGGGAGTGTAAACTAAACTCTCCCCAAGACTTATATATTTCGGAACAGAGGTAATAGTACAGACTCAAAAAAAAAACTATGGGAAAGATCACATCATAGAATCAGACATGTGGTATATATAATTGAACTTCCTTTCAAAGGTTATAGTAAAAATATATCATACATGCTACTTACAGTGACATTTCTCCATTTTTACAACTTTGTGTTTTCACACTGATCATCAGCAAAAGGTGGAAAGTCACAAAACAAGTAATGCAGCAAAATTAATCAAGAAAAAACAAAAGTAAAGGAAAATTCATTCAGTTTAGCTATCCTTGCTCCTTTGGCCGCCGATGCAATCTCGAGCTCCGCCCACCACAGCGGGTTTGGCCTGCTCCGGCGACAAGGCCGTCACACCCCTCATCATCCTGGCAACCTCCCCCATGGCCGCTCTCTTCTCTCTCTCTCCGGATCTATGCACAGCCTTACAACATCACACAGCGCAGCTACATCTCTGTCGGGCACAGACGACCTCAGCGTCGGATCAACCATCCCATTCAGCGCCCTCTTGCCGTCCAGGTACGTAGCTGGACGCCCAGAGAACCAGCAGGCCGTGGTCTTCGGAGAACGGCACCCTCCCGGAAATCACCTCCAGCAGCAGGATGCCCAACTTGTAGACGATGCTAGCTTTCTTGGTCACTTTGCGATTCAGCAGCATCTTTGCCACCCTTGCAGAATTCCATGTCAGAGATCTTGGCCGCGTAGTCCTCGGTCAGGTAGATGGACGATGAACTCAGTGTTGCTGGCATGACCAGAGGGTCTAGCTGGCTCATGTGCTCCAAGCAGTACTCTACTCCCATGATGGTGCGCAGACGTGTAGGCCAGTCCAAATCTTCTGCTTCTCTAACTGCACAACATATATGAGGATATATAATAAGCTATTCATCAGTTATCATTTAGCAATCATTGTAGCCAGTATGTTCTTCTTCAGGTGAATGAAAGAAAAACGAATTGTTTACAAAATGCAAGGAAATCATTTGGCAGGCATCCAGATACCAAGCTAGAGACAGGCACTCACTGTGCAAATGCTCAAAGAGGGAACCACACGGAGCATATTCCAACACTATCATCCGGGTGAATGGCTCGTCGCATGTGCAGTAGCCGAGTAGGTTCATCAAGTTCTTATGGTTCACCCTGGACAACATAGATATCTGAAGAAATGCTGTTAGTAATTAATTATCTGGTAGCTAGATAAAAACATGCTTGCTGACTGGGCAAAAACTTTATTACCTTGTTCTTAAACTGCTCCTCAGACTTGTCTGACCAATCTTTGGCAGAGTTAACTGAAGTGGAGACAACTGCTATTTCAACTCCACTTGACAGAGTCCCCTTATACAGTAATCATCACATTGATGAAGTCCTCGCACGCTGTCTGAAGCTCTGCCCTTTCAAGAGAAGGCACACCTGCCACACGCCACAATAAACCCAGCAACTTCAAATAGTTTCTTCAGATGAAATGCATTTGAGTAATGTTTATTCTGTAGAGTAGTCAAATTTCGTGCTAATTTGATGAAATGTTAGCCATTTTATGCTTCAGATGGTGAGGGGTGACCTGCCACGAAGGCTTTCCTTAGTGGTCCACTCAGTCCAGTAGACCATGGCGTGACTGTGTGATCCTTCTTTCGACGATTGAAGAGTAGATACATGGTGGTACCTGCGATGACCACAAGGAGAACTGCTCCACTGATGACTATTGTATAGATTGCCCAGTGTGGCAGTATGGAAGGCTTCTTGGTTCCGGACTCATGGTCGGTAGACTTGGAAGAGTGATCTGGATCTAGGAGCCGTCTCTGGATGACACCCCTAATTGTTCTGCGTAATGTCATGGACGAACATAAGCTAAACAGTAAACTTGGTGAAGCTGTAATGATGTACAGTTAGGAAACTCCACGTAGGAGGGACTAACTTTGTTAAGAATTTTCGGCATGATTGTAGCCCTCCATCAGAAAGATTCTCTGAGAGCTTTTGCGACTCGGGTGCCCTTCCACCTGATAACTTATCACCCTTGAGTAACCTGCAAACTTAATCCTGTGGTTTCAGATTATATGTCCGGAACTGATGATATCAGGATTCATCTTTACTCATGGCAGTTTTCAAGGAAGCATTTTTCCTACATCTGAAAGAATTGCTGCACTGAGACAGTTCAGACTTAATCTCAGAACCTCCAGGTATTGCTAGTTGACATTTCAAAAAGGAAAAAAAAAGATTTATCTAGTTCACAATTTTTTCTATAAAAAAATTGCTGGTTGACCAGTTCACGGTCAAAAAATTACGGGCGCAGATTCTTCTCTCTCCCTTGGTTACTGATAAAAGCTTAAAGTTCTGTTCATTCCCCTAAACTTTCATATCTAAGGATTGTTTCCTTGAATCCTACTGATTATTTTAATCTTTATATATGTATGTGTAGGTTATTATATATGAAAAAAATGGCATTAAGAAATGCTTAAAGGTCAAAATTCTTCTTCAACAAGCATAGGTTGCATTGCTCTAGAAGTATTTGACTAACCTCTGGTATAACAGCGGACAATAGATAATACTCCTGAACACAAATAATGAGTTGTTCTATGAGTGGTTTAAACCATGGCTGTCTAGTACATGTACTATAAACAATTTGCAATCATCAACCATAACTATGTACCATGAATTATGTTTTTGAAGAACAAGAAGAAAAAAGCACACAATGAATTATGAATGAACCTAGTAAAGACTGATTAGCAAGAGGAAAAACTGAAGATTGATTTTAAAAAACAGCACTTACAGGGCCAGCACCTTGCCATCAAGTGAGCAACTTGCTCCCGAATTCGACGAAGGTTCTGTTATGCATGTTTCCAAATCTCAAAGGGGCTCTCTCTGAAGCAATAGAAAATGTTTAGACAACCAGCCAGTTTGTAAATAATCAGTGTTAACCGTAGCGAACAAAAATTCCTCTCGCACTCCTTGTTCTTGGATGGAAGCACATGATGACCCAAGCCTCTGCGACACAAGCAGAAAGAAGAAGATGATGATGCAGGCAGCTCTAATGTTCCATGTCTCCATTGCTGTTCCAAGGAAAGGGCCGGAAACTGTCTTTCTTGGGCAGGACAGGAGGTTGAAAGAGATGAGTAAGGGCAGCGGGACAGAAGCTGGGGAACAGAATAAAAGAGGGGCAGCATGCATAATTTACCTGTGAAGCGTGGTGACTGACTGGTGGTAGCTAGCTAGCTAGCTAGATGCTGGAAAGCTCACATCTTTTGCGCTGTAAAAGTGAAGGGGAGCAGAGAGCACACACGGTATTGGAATTTGTTTGCATAAGGAACGAATCGAATCGGGTTGCCATAATAATATCCCCCTCCCTTGCTAGATAAATTAAGGGATGGCAAAGCAGTGAAAACGAAAGCGAAAGAAAGTAGTGGGATCTCCACGTTTAGCGCTAACACAAACA